GTTGCTGCTGATCTGTTTCAATGTTGATGTGTTCATGCGTGCACATCCGCTCACACAGACTCATGTTCATGTTTGTGCTGATGTTCAATGTTTTATGAGTGCTTAGTGTATATTTAGTTGATGTTTTTCTTAGTTCATATCTTAGATGTTATTACTGTTTTTCTTATACATTTTATTGTTGGATGTAACTGGGACCCCGTGTACATAATTTCGCTCCACCACATGTACCACATGAGGTGCGAATGACAATAAAGAAACTCTGACTCTGACTGACTTTGAAGAAGATGTGGTCTGGATGGGAGCAGATGTTCTAAAACCTGAAGATATTTCTCTGCATTGATTCCAGATGTGGAATCAAGAGGCTGACTTTTGAGGACGTGGCATTCATAGTTTCCAAACAGAACTTCAGATTTTGATTCTACTCACCTCCTTTTAACCAAACCATGAACAGTTCTGGACTTTGCTTCAGTCCATTTGAAATGAGCTTTGGATCCAGAGAAGATGGCAGTGGTTCTGGTTGGTGTTCACATCTGGCTTTCTCTTTACCTGATAGAGCTTTAAGCAGCATCTGTGAATGACCTGTGTTTACAGACAATAAGTGTTCCTGAGCCCAGAACAGAACCAGACTTGGTTTAATGCAGTGGCCCCTGAGGGCCTCATACTTTGAGCTCAGATATTTCTACAGATTATTTTAATCTTTTGATCAGATTATGAAATGGAGTTGATGAAAATTAAAGTCTTTGACTGTTGGTGGAATCGAACCCTCAACTCTCCCAGTGGAGGTTGCTGCTCTAACCGTTCAGCCACAGCTGCCTCATCTGTTGCTGCCAACAAATTTACAATTACCTAATTTTTTCTAAAAATTTAACTAGTTTCAACGTTTGAAATGTCTGATGTGTTTCTTTATGAATAAAAAACAGATTTATGAGTTTTGCTAATCATTGAATTTTGTTTTTATTTACATTTTACACAACAACCCTTGTGGGCATTGAGGTTAAACTATTATTTCTAATTAAAGATACAGTCAGAACTTTCTGTCAAAGTTAATGGGCAAAAAGAAATATCTGTTTTTACCACAATCAAAAATATTTTCCATTTTTGCCACTCCAGAGTTTTGTCCTGTTGATAGTTTTTTTTCTTGACCTGTTTTTTTCTGTTTTCTGTCAGACCTGAGTGTGTGCTCACAAGAGCAGCCATGTCAGAACGGAGCCACCTGTGTGATGGAGAACACCGGCGACTTCACCTGTTTATGTCCTGAAGGATTTCATGGACCCACCTGCCGAAAGAGGACTGGGCCATGTTACCAGAAGAGGTGATAAATAACCTTTTGATAACTGACTGAAAAGTTCCAACAACTGATTTTTTTTTCTTCTTTTGGCTGCTCCCTTCTTCAGGGGTCACCACAGTGAACTAACTCACATGAAGACTTAATTGTTTTGTCTTTTTTATGCCCGATGTTCTTCCTGACACAACCACAGACCACCGAGCTACCACAGCCCTCTGTGTGGAGCAGAGAGCTGCTATCTAGGGCACCCAGGGGAGCAGATGGTGGGGTTAAGGGCTTTCCTCAAGGGCCCAGGGTGGGGCAAATGAGGGTGGAGGCAGGTGTGGGTGCTTCACCTTTCCCACCCACATTTTTGATGGTGTTGGTCCGGGGGTCGAACCATCAACCTTCCTATCACAGGCTCGCCTTCTCTAACCTCTGTAACACCACTCCCCAATAACTGAAGGTTTAAGTGATTGGACTGGTGTCCAATAACTGATTAATTACCCTTCAATAATTGATTACTAAAGCACTGATAATTGATCAATAAACATAAAAAACTGATCAATAAACTTTTGACTGATAAACCACCAATAACTGATCTTCAAAACCTCTGATCACATTTCTCAGTCTCTGAGGGGGGCTGCAGGAGTCACTAAAAAGGACTATCTGGTCTCGTTAAATCAAAAGCCAGAGCAGCGTTTGCGTCCTCGTCACAAAATCAAGCTCGACCTCGGTGCAGGTGGGACGCCTCCAGAGCTGTCCCCTGTCTCGGATCCTGTTTGTGGTCTTCGTGGACGGGACCTCCAGGCTCAGTCATGGAGAGGAAAGTGTCTGGTTTGGTAACATCAGGGTCTCGTCTGTTTCTCGTTTGCAATGGGGCGGCTGTGGCTGAGTGGTTAGAGCAGTTGTCCTCCAATGCAAGACTTGGGGGTTCGATTCCACCAGCAGTCACATGTCAAAGTGTCGCTGGGCAAGACACTGAACCCCTCATTTCCTCTGATGTGTGTCCCATCAGTGCATGAATGTGATAAAGTTCTGATTAGTCTTGTACAGATCTAGTAGAGTGCTGTATGCATGGGTAAATGAGGCACATATTGTTTTGTAAAGAACTTTGAGTATCTTGATAAGATAGAAAGGTGATATATAAGTACAGTCCATTTACCATTTTTTGCAAATGACGTGGTTCTGTTGGCATCTGTAGGCCATGACTTTTAGTGTGTCCTGAGGTGGTTTGCAGTCAAATGTTTGAGGCCCTCAACTGGAAAAAGGTGCAATGCTCCAGCGGCATTGGGATGAGCCTCTGCCTTGTGGAGCAGTTCAAGTATCTGAGTCTCACTCATGAGAGATGATGGGACGTAGCAGGACATGGATTGATGAGTCTGGGCCTTGTCTTCAGTAATGAGGGCATTGCTTCAGCCTGATGTGGTGAAGAAAGGCAAAGCCTTTGATTTACTGGTCCATCTACATTCCAACGCTCACCTATGGCCACAAAGTATGGATCAGAATGGAAAGAACAAGATCCTGGATACAAAGGTTGGAATGAGATTTTTCCATAGAGTGGCCGCTCAGATTTAGAGATGAGGTAAGACGCTCCATCTTCCATGAGCAGTTCAGATTTGAGCCGCTGTTCCTCTTCACTGAAATGAGTCAGATAAGGTGGTCTGGGTCTTTGATCATGTAGCCTCCTTTTGGCCTGGGAACACTCTGAAAAACTTTCAGGAGAAGCTAGAGTGTCTCTGGGAAAAGGGAATTCTGGGTTTTCCTCCAGGAGCTGTTTCCACCACAACTCGACTGGAGATAAGTGGCAGCAAATGGATGAAGTGAACTGATCACTAATTATCTGATCAATAATTGATACTTAAAAAAACTCTGATCAATATCCCTCTGTTAACTGATTGAAAAGTTTTATTTTGTGTTTCAAACTTAACCTGATTGAGATCCAAACGGATCAATCAGGTTTTTTAAAGCTCAACGTGTTTCCTCAGATGTTTTCATTTCAGGTTGTACTGAAGAACTGACATTTTTCTGTTTCTTCTTCCTGTTCCTTGTCACCTGGCTGCAGGTCTCCATGTAAAAATGGCGGTCTGTGTGAAGATGCTGAGGGTTTCGCCGCAGAGCTGACATGTCTCTGCCTCGCTGGTTTCACAGGACAGCTCTGTGAGACCGACATAGACGACTGTCTGATGATGCCGTGTGCCACTGGTGCCACCTGCGTGGATGGCGTGAACCGCTTTTCGTGTCTGTGTCCCCTCGGCTTCATCGGGCGTTTCTGCACCATCAGTTTGGATGACTGCTCCAGCCAGCCCTGCCTAAACGGTGGCCGCTGCCTGGACCGGGCTAGAGGTTTCCACTGCATCTGTCAGCCTGGCTTCACGGGAACCACCTGTGAGACACCGCTAAACCGTGGCAACGCCAGCAGCAGCAACACCAGCAGCAGCAACGCCAGCAGCAGCAACACCAGCAGCAGCAACACCAGCAGCAGCAGCAACACCAGCAGCAGCACCAGCCAACACAGTTGGGGGACACTCGGCTGGGACAGTGGTCTCCATGAGGACAGGCCACTGAAGGTTACTGTCAGCGAGCGCAGCGCCGCCAGCCTGTCAGGCCTACAGCTCATCATTATTCTGGTCCTGGTGGCTGTGACTCTTGGTGCGTTGGTGCTGACCACCATCCTCATCACATGGGGTCACTGCAGGGACTGTTGCCCCGCCCCCTGCAGGCCACTATCGTCACAGGGAAGTGAAAGAAACAGCCGACAAGCGCCGTGTGATGAGCCGGAGTGTCAGATTAGTTTCCTGAACACAACAGAACCACAGAAGAAAAGACTCAATGTGGAAGTGGTTCAGACTTAGTCTGGACTCAAAGGTTCAGATCCTCCTGTCTGCTTTAATGTGGTCAGAACCAGACTGGACTGGGCCTACTCACCAAATCCACGGAGTAGTTCTAAAACAGGTTCTGGAACCAGAACAAAACAGACTCTTAGTCGGTTGTCAAAGTAAAATCCACAGATGGATAACAGGAGGAACGGATCAATTCAGTTTGTTGTTTCTGTATGAACATAATGAAATACTGAACTGACACTATCAAAAATGTAAATTATTATTTATTTATGTACAAAATATTCTGGTCATATGGACTTATAGTGAAGTTCAGCTGCAGATGGAAAACAAAAAAGCTTCCTGTAGACACTTTCTGATTATTAGCAGAACTTTTCACTGAACAGAAACAGAAACGGTCTGACCATTAAACTTGTGTATGAATGTTCTACAGGTCTGTTTGATTTTTGAGTTATGTGGTCACATCCGTCCTGCCAACAGAAACTGTTCAGTTCTTCTGGGCCTCAAGTCCTCAGTTTTCACACCGGTGTTGGTGTAGGAACAAAACAAGAGTGTGTGCTCTGAAATATTCATATTTACCCAACGGTGTGTGTACATGTTTCAGAAGTAATGAAAAGGTGAAATGTTCAAACACAAAGGTGGCATTAAAGTGAAGGTCTCCATTGCTGCTCATCCAGTAAAGTCAGACACCACTTCTGAAATATACACTGTTGTTGTAAACGACTGAACCGAGGGGCTCTGATCTGCTGGCGACGCACTTCTGAGTCGGAGTCATTTCCACATTCTTCTGCAGGTCAGAGGTGTAAGTACAGTGCACCCACAAAGTATTCACAGCACTTTACTGTATGTCAACTATAAACAGCTGTTTATAAGACTGAGTTTGTTGCACCCCCTCAGAATGAAGAAGTCTTCTGGATAAAAGACGAAACGTTTCAACAAGAAGAATCTGTCCAAAGGACCTGACTTAACCTCTTTAGATTTCATGGACAGAATTCCTCTGTGCAGGTAGGGGGTGGAGGGAGTCTGGTTCCATGGTCTTAGGATTTACAGATGACGTGGTCCTGATAAAAAATAATGGATGGATGGTTGGATGGCATCTGATGGGGTGCTAAGAGAGGAGCTGTGGTGTTTTAAGGGAGTGTTAGACTAGTACAGGACATGTATGAGGACAGCAAGACAGTGGTGAGATGTGCTGTAGGAGTGACAGACGGCTTCAAGGTGCAGGTGAGAATGCATCAAGGATCGGCACTGAGCCCCTTCTTGTGTGCTCTGATGATGGACCGACTAACAGATGAGGTCAGGCACAAATCCCCATGGACTATGATGTTTACAGATGACATTATGATCTGTGGTGAGAACAAGGAACAGGTGGAAGAGAACTTGGATAGGTGGAGGTATGCACTTGAAAGAAGATGAATGAAAATCAGCCGTAGTAGGACAGAGTACAAGTGTGAATTAGAGGGAGGTTGGTGGAACAGTGAAGCTACAAGGAGAAGAGGTCACAAAGGTGCAGGACTTCAAGAACTTGGGGTTCACTGTCCAGGAAAATGGGAATGTGGTAAAGAGGTGAAAAAGAGAGTCCAGGCAGGATGGAGTGGATGGAGAAAAGTTTCAGGAGTGACTTGTGACAAAAGGGTGTCAGCAAAGGTCAAAGTAAAAGTTTAAGACAGTGGTGAGACCAGCTATGTTATATGGTCTGGAGATAGAGACATGGACAAAAAGACAGGAGACAGAACTGGAAGTAACAGAAATGAAGATGTTGAGGTTTTCCTGAGGAGGGACAAGAATGGAGAAGATTAGGAATGAGAGCATCAGAGGTACAGCACATGTTGAACAACTGGGAGATAAAGTTAGAGAGGCCAGACTGAGATGGTTTGGACATGTCAAGAGGAGGGACAGTGGTTTGGACATGTCCAGAGGAGGGACAGTGGGTATATTGGTAGAAGGATGTTAGAAATGCAGCTGCCAGGAAAAAGACAAAGAAGAAGGCCAAAGAGAAGATATATGGATGTAGTTAGAGAGGACATGGAAGACAGAGGACAGAAGAGGAGGACTTGGCTGTGGAGACACCTGACAAGGGAACAGCTGAAAGAAGAAGAAGTATATAAATTGTGGAAGAGTTGTACGAATGAAGTCAGCCATCAGCAGATTTAAGTCTTTCATCATTTTACAGGAAAGATTTTTTCAATTCAGTTTATTTATATACTGTAGCACCAAATCACAACAAAGTTGTCTCAGGGCACTTTACAGGAACATTCACATCCATAGAAAAGCCAATTAGTAAAGTTCTCTATCTAAGGAAGCAGCAGACAAGTTGAATCTTGGCTTTGTTGCAGTCTCCCATCCTGAGCAAGCACAATTTGTTTTAAATGATCAACCGGAACCTTTTCAGTGTTTGTATGCAACACCTGCTGTAAGTTATTATGAAGTTTAATAGTTTTATATGTTTGTTCTTCATACTGAATTATGTTGTGCCTCCTCTTTAACCTTTGCCTCTTTAGAGTCCAGGTCTGCTCTGATTGGTCAGAGTAAGATGGCTAATTGTATGTACATAAACTTTATGATGATAGCATGAGCTGAGCTCTAAATGAGGCTCGGAGGAGCAGACTTCAGTGACAATAACTAACTTTGACTCAGATGTAGTGGCGTAGCTGACCTTTGACCTTTACTGCTGTGTCATTGGTGAGATCAGTGTTTCCTGTTTCAGTTGTTTGAAGATGTCATGCAGAAACAGACCAATCAGAGCCCTCCGTTTTTACAAAGCTGTAAACAGTTTTATTATTGTGACATAATAACAGCTGAACCAAAAATACATTTATCAGAAAAAACACACCTGTGGAACAGTTACCTGTCTGCTACCTCAGATGATGCAGAGCGTGTGACTGGCTACAAGCCACTAGACGACTTAAAGTGCAGAGAAACCAACATTCGGTACAGGAAGTGAGAACATTCTAACAGGAAGTAGGTGTCAGTGTGGGAAGAGTCACATCTCAGTCTCAGCCAATAGGCTCTCACCTAGACCTGACGTCAACATGACCATCTGGGGTCCGGAATCTGTAGGGTCAAAGAACGACAGATTTAGACCTTCAACAGGTTATCGGGTCCAAACCCCAAGGTCCATATTGTCATTAATCAGTTTCAGATGTTTTGATTCTTCCTCATCAAGTTTCGGCCACACATGCAACAAAATTTCACTAAACTCAAAAAGTTCAACTGAAACTAAAAAACCTTCAACAGTCCTAATTTTTATTCCAGCACTGAAACCCTTCTTTAATCAAGGCTTTTATTCATAAAATCTGTCAGAATTTGAACAAACCAGACTTTAAATCTAAATTATTTTGATAAATATTTCCCTCCAGAATCCTAGCTGTGTTACCTGAAGAGTTTTCCATTGGATTTATTTATTCATCAACTGAAATTTTTTCATGTTGTGTTTAACAAAGAGTTAGAACCTGGAGTACTGCTCCAGATTTAAAGACGGGATAAAAAATGCACTGAAGAGCTGCAAAGAAGACTGTTTTCATTAAATCTATGAGCTAAAATTAAGCTGTTTCTGAAACAAACCCAGACTTCCATTGAAGGTTATAAGTTTTCAAAATAATAAGCTTTAGTACTCAAGCTTATAAAAGTATTTCAGTAGTACTCAAGGAAATCAAAGTGAATTTTGACTGACCCAAACTGAGGAACATTTTTCTGTTCAAAGTACAAAACACATCAAAATACCGCATTTAAATACTTTAACATGTTAGTACATTCTTGGTTTAAGTTACATACAGTAACTAAATACTTTTTCATGTTGGTACCTTATTGTTTTTAGATGCATACAGCACTGCATACTTAAACCAGACAATAGGGAGCACAGGCCTGTATATCTCATAGGTTGAGAGCTGGCTGACATGATGCAGAGAAGGAAGGTAGATGTTTTATGTGTCTAAGAGACCAAGTGGAAGGGCAGCAAGGCTCGCAGCATTGGAGAAAGGTTTAAACTATTTTACCATGGTGTGGCTAGAAAGAGAAATGGAGTAGGGGTGATCCTGAAGAAGGAGTTGGCAAAAAATGTAGTAGAGGTGAAAAAAGTGTCAGATAGGGTGATGTGTCTGAAGGTAGAAGCAAAAGGTCTGATGCTAAATGCTGTCAGTGGATATGCTCCACAGGTTTGCTGTGACAGACGAGAAAGAGAAATTTTTGAAGGATATAGATGAAGTCATAGAAGGGGTTGCACAACAACATTTTTTTTAAAGTCGTCTAAAAGTCGACATCAACTGATTGCTGTGACATCATAAAAACTCGAGATACTATCATATTCACAAAATAAGTCATTTATTATTTACAAAAAAAGAGCAACAAAACATCAGGAGCATATATTTATGCTCCTACCTTTTATCATACTGCAAATAAGTCACAGGAAAACCAAAACTATTATAAAGCTGCAAAAGTGAATGAAATGTGCGGCACGTAAAAAACAAAACAAAAAACAGTAGGGCGGGCGGTGGTGGAATCCACCTTATTATAATATTATAGTTATTAACGGTCGTCGGCCACGCGCATCCGCTGACGCAGCAGCTGGGTCCAGTTAAGCCACAGGTGGGTCGCTGGCAGCCATCCATCTGAACTTTTCTGTACATCTTTCAACCGGCTGGGCTGGGCTTGGCTGGGCTAGGCTTGGCTGGGCTGGGCTTAGCTGGGCTCGGCAGCGTGCGTTAGCTGATGCGGCGGCTGGCACGCTTCAGGTGGGTCACCGGCAGTGATCCATCTGGACTTTTTAGTACCTCTTTTAACTGGCCGGTCAGTGCGCGGTCAAATGGCCAAGAGCGGCTGGTGGTGATCTAAATTGGATCGTCAGCCGCGTGCGTCCGCTGACGAAATCAAAAGCCAAACTCCGAACCGACCTGACCATCCAGCACATTATTTTGGACCGGCCCAAATTTTGGGTTGGGTTGGGTTGGGTCGGGCCGAGCCGGGCGTGGGCCCGGGTTAGAAATGATAGCTCTAACCCACTGCAGGGGGCCGGTGGTGGTAACTGCGACTAGTCGACATAAAATCAAAAAACTTGCGAGATGTCCTAGAATCGACTAGTCATCTCAAGGATTCAAGGTGTTTTATTTGTCATTTCACCACATGTGGTGGAACGAAATTGTGTACGCAGGGTCTTAGTTACATCTCAATTACAAGCATACTTACTCAACTCCTAATAGAGCATTCCCAGGGAGGAGAGAGTGGTGATCGGAGCAGACCTGAATGGACATGATGGTGAAGGAAACAGAGGGGATGAGAAAGTGATGGGTAGGATTGCTGTCAATGAAAGAACCTAGGAAGGACAGATGGTGGTGGATTTTCCCAAGAAAATGGAAATGGTTGTAGTCGACACTTTTTTCCAAAAAAGGGAGAAACATAAAGTGACTTATAAGAGTGGAGGAAGGAGTATGCAGGTAGACTACTTTCTGTGTAGAGGAGGAAACCTGAGGGAGATTGGGGACTGTAAAGTTGTGTCCAGACAGCATCGGATGGTTGTGTGTAGAATGACTGTTGCTGTGAAGAAGAAAAAGTGTAAAATTGGAAAAGACCAAACAGTGGAAGCTGAGGAAGGAAGAATGTTGTGAGGAGTCAACCTACTTCACATATGGGGGGCAATAATATAGGCAGAAACATGGGTGTGCTATGGGGTCTCCAGTTTCTCCTATTGTGGCCAACCTGTACATGGAGGAGGTAGAAAAGACAGCCTTGACGTCCTTTTCAGGGACACAACCGAGTCATTGGTTCAGGTATGTTGACGACACCTGGGTTAAAATAAAATCTTAGGAAGTCCAACATTTCACTGATTACATCAGTTCTGTGGATAAATACATCAAGTTCACATGAGAAGATGTAAAAAAAATGGCAGGCTGGCTTTCTTGGACTGTGAGAGCTCAGATTCTGATGGAGGACATTTGCAAACAAATGTGTATTGCAAACCCACCCACACAGACCAGTACTTGAGGTTTGACTTTCATCACTCTGTGGAGCACAAGTTAGGAGTCATCAGAACTCTGTACCACAGAGCAGACAGCGTCCCCACTAACTCAGGAGACAGGCAGAAGGAAAAATTCCACACGATAGGTCCTGTAGCAATGTGGATCTCCTAACTGGGCCTTCCTGAAAGCAGAGATGAAACCCAAACAGGACTCCAGTCAGCCATCAGGTGAAAAGGAGGAACCCAGACCCACACCAGTGGTCATTCCATATGTTGTGAGAGTTTAAGAGAAACTGAGACATTTATTTTCACATAAATGTGGGGAGGCTGTGGCTGAGTGGTTAGAGCAGTCGTCCTCCAATGCAAGAGTTGGGGGTTCAAATCCACCAGCAGTCACATGTTGAAGTGTCCTTGGGCAAGACACTGAACCCCTCACAGCCTCTAATGTGTGTCCCATCAGTGTATGAATATGATCTAAAGCACTGATTAGTCTCTTTAGAATGATTTGTTCAATTAGCTTTGTAGAGATCTAGTAGCATGTTGTATGAATGGGTAAATGAGGACACAGATTGTAGTGTAACGCGCTTTGAGTATCTTGAAATAAGATAGAAAGGCGCTACATAAGTACAGTCCATTTACCATTCTAAACACAATGTCCCAGTGGTTTTTAAACCCCAAAATACATTACGGCAAAGACTGGTGCATCTCAAAGATCCAGTCCCCCGGCACAAACAGAGTAATATTGTGTATGCTGTTCAGTGTCAGGAGGGTGATAGGTCTTACATTGGGGAAACTAAACAGCCACTGGCCAAAAGGATGGACCAGCACAGAAGAGCAACATCATCAGGCCAGGACTCTGTGGTCTACACTCATCTCCAGGTCAGCGGTCACTCTTTCAGGGATGAAGATGTTCACATACTTGATAGAGAGGAACAGTGGTTTGAGAGAGGAGTGAAGGAAGCCATCTTTGTGAAAAGAAACTGTCCATCATTAAACAGGGGCGGAGGCCTCCATGTTCAACTGTCCCCTTCTTACAATGCTGTGATTGCCAGTATCACTCAGACCCCTGTGAATAGCAAGCAGCCATCAGGGCACTAACATTCAATTGTTGGGGCTCTAATGATCTTTTGTTAGGCTGATGGTCCTTATTTTGCATGTGAACAACTAGTTCTGGCTGTCAGCAGCAAACTGATTTGGTCCACTATGAGAAAATGCTGTTTAAAACATTGAGTTTGCTGCAGGGTTTCAGACAGGAGAAGTCTTTTGGATAGAAGACGAAAAGTTTGACCAAAGAAGAATCCGTCCAGAGGACCTGGCTCAACTTTTTTAGAATGTTGTGAGGAGTTCAGAGTAGAGCTGTTAAAGACTCTGGGTGATAAGAAAGAACTTCCAGATGACTAGGCTACTACAGCAACAATAATTAGAGAGACATGTACTTGGTGTGTCATCCGGACAGACAAAAGATGACAAAGAAACCTGGTGGTGAAATAGTGAAGCGCAAGAAGCTATTCAAAAAAAAAAAAGTTAGCCAAGAAGAAATATGACAGTGAGGGGACTGAAGAGAGGAGACAGGAATATAAGGTGATGCAACATGAACAAAGAGGGAGGTAGCAAAGGCAAAGCAGAAAACATATGAGTTGTATGGGAGGCTAGACAGTAAAGGGGGCAAGAAGGACTTGGACTTGGCAGGCAGAGGGATCAGGCTGGAAAGGATGTGCAGCAGGTTAGGCTTGTTAAAGATAGGAATGATAATGTTCTAACAAGTGATGAGAGTGAGATGGGAAGATGGAAGGAGTACTTTGAGGAGCTAATAAATGAAAAGAAAGAACACGAAAAAGGGGTAGAGGTAAAAAAAAAAAAAGTGGACTGGGAAGTGGAAAAGATTAGTGAGGGTGATGTCCGAAATGCTCTGAACAGAATGAAGAAGGGGAAGACAGTAGGACCTGATGACATCCCTGTGGAGGTATGGAAATGTCTTGGAGAGATAGCAGTAAGGTTTTTGACTGAAATATTCAGTGGCATATTTGAGGGAAAGAAAATGCATGAGGAATGGAGAAGTGTTTTTGTGCCCATTTTTAAGGACAAGGATGATGTACAGAGTTGTAGCAACTACAATAGAATTAAGTTGATGAGCCAAACAAAGAAGTGTGGAAGTTAGATTTAGATGAGAGGGGACTATTTGTGAGCAACAGTATGGTTTCATGCTGAGAAAGAGCACCACAGACGCCATCTTTGCTTTGAGGATGCTGATGGAAAAATGCAGAGAGGGTCAGAAAGAACTTCAATGTGTCTTTGTGGATTTAGAAAAACCATGACATGGTGCAGAGGGAGGAGGTGTGGTGTTGCACGAGGAAATCTGGAGAGGCAGAGAAGAATGTTAGACTGGTACAGGACATGTATGAGGACAGCAGGACAGTGGTGAGAAGTGCTGTAGGAGTGACAGATAGCATCAAGGTGGAGGTGGGATTACATCAAGGATTGGCTCTGAGCCCCTTCTTGTTTGCTCTGGTAATGGGCAGACTAACAGATAAGGTCAGGCAGGATTCCCCGTGGACTACGGGGGGAGGGCGGCTGTGGCTGAGTGGTTAGAGCAGTCGTCCTCCAATGCAAGAGCTGGGGGTTCAAATCCACCAGCAGTCACATGCCGAAGTGTCCCTGGGCAAGACACTGAACCCCTCATAGCCTCTGATGTGTGTCTCATCAGTGTATGAATGTGATAAAGCACGGATTAGTCTCTTTAGAATGATTTGTTCAATTAGCTTTGTAGAGATCTAGTAGAGTGCTGTATGAATGGGTAAATGAGGACACAGATTGTAATGTAAAGCGCTTTGAGTATCTTGATCAGATAGAAAGGCGCTATATAAGTACAGTCCATTTACCATTTATTACGATGTTTGCAGAGGACATTATGATCTGTGGTGAGAACAGGGAACAGGTGGAAGAGAACTTGGAGAGGTGAAAGAAGAGGAATGAAAGTCAGCCATAGTAAGACAAAGTATGTGTGTGAATGAGAGGGAGGTCAGTGGAACAGTGAGGCTACAAGGAGCAGAAGTCACAAAGGTACAGGACTTCAAGTACTTGGGGTCCACTGTCCAGGAAAATGAGGAGTGTGGTAAAGAGGTGAAGAAGAGAGTCCAGACAGGATGGCATGGAAGAAAAAGGATGGAGTAGCAGAAATGAAGATGTTGAGGTTCTCCTTATGAGTGACATTAATGGACAAGTTAAGGACTGAGATCATCAGAGGTACAGCAAAGGTTGAACAACTTGGAGATAAGGCAACAAATTTCATGCTCAATCATCCAGGTATCAAATCCAATAATTTTCAGTTGGGTCATCTGGACAGTTTCTTTTTTATAGAGAAGTTTTGCCCTCTATCCGGAGGGCTTCATCAGTAAAAGGAGTTCCAGTAAACTGTTTCTCCACCAAGCAGTAAACTCCTTAAGTGGACCAACCAGTTTGCTGGAGCTAAGATGGTTTCTGGGGGCCGTCCTGTCCCTCGTCGACTCCTCCCGGCAGGCAGCCACAGCCAAAGTGGTTCAAGGCAATAAAGTTCATGCTCAATCATCCAGGTACTAAATCATGATGAAGCCCTCCAGATAGAGGGCAAAACGTCTCTATTATTAAAAAAAAAACTGTCCAGATGACCCAACTGAGAATTATTGCATTTGGTACCTTCTAATTTTATGACCAGCACCTGTATTTTAAAGGTTTTAGCTTCCTTTAAACTGTGTCACACTGATTCCTGAAATAGACCTTTTCATTTTCTGTAACTTCACAGTTTCCTGATTTAGTTCTGTATGTGTCAATACCAACTGTTTTCACTGAGACCCTGGCAGAACCAAAACTAAAACTTTAGGATTCTGCTAAGCAGAACCACTGAGGAACCCTGAATACATGAAAATATCAATACTGATCCACTTAACAACTGAACTCTGCAGTAACTGGGACTAGATAAACTCCAGTTACACACTTTATGCAAAGCATAAAATTCCTACCGTTACCTAGGACACCTAAACACCAAGCAGAAAATAATATCAGCCCTGGACTTGATCCAAAGGTACTAGTACCAGCAGAACCAGATCAGAACATCAGTTTTTCTACATTTGCACTGATTGTATTCAGTCTGAATTGGTCTAACTCTTACTGAGAAGACTGGTAGCAGAAATTATGGGGCAGTGAGCATGATGGTGTTCAGCCCTTACTGCTGCATGTGAGCCAGGTGGGGGGCTGGTATTTGTCTCTGATTGGATGGAGAGCATTGCTGTAAGCAGGGCCTCGCAGCAGGGGCGGAGCCTCTCTGTCGTCCTCCTCTCCTTCGGACAGCAGGTCGTTGATCTGCTGTTGCAGCTCTGGACTGATGGCGTTCTCTGCCAAAACCAAAATCCGCAGGCTGGTTGGGTAGTTCGCCACCATGTCCAGAAACACCTGCACAACAACAACACCTGAATTCAGAACTCCAAACTCTGAGTATAGACACAGAAACATAGAGGCACACAGACTGAGAGACAAGAACGTGGATAATGGTGATGATGATGAAGATAATAATGTTGATAACAGTCGTAGTGATGATGTGATAGTGAAAATGATACTAGTGATGAAGATGAGTGATTAAGATAATGATGTTGACATAAGTAAAGATCGTGACAGTCGAAGACCACGAGGAGGGAAACATGTTGGGAGACAGAGGAAGATTAAGAATGTAGGACTGAGGGTGGCAAATCTAAATGTGAGGACAATGACAGGCAAAGGTGATGCAGAGAAGGAAGGTAGATGTTTTGTGTCCAAGAGACCAAGTGAAAAGACAGCAAGGCTCACAGCATTGGAGCAGGTTTTAAATGGTTTGGCCATGGTGTGAATGGTGAATGGTGAATGGTGCGTCTGTAGTTTTCTCTGGCCCCCTCCCCAACCTGGCCAGCGATGACAGTCGTATCGTTCAACTGCTGGCTGTCCAAGTGGTGGCCTGAAAACAACGTGGGCTACGAGGATAAATGGAGTGCATTTTGGTGAAAATCTGGTCTGATGCGGAGAGATGGCATCCATCCCACTTTGTGGGGAACCGCTCTTCTTTCTAGAAATTTGGACGATTTTGTTTGTCCTCCAAATTATTGACAACTCAGGGTCCAATCCAGGAAACAGAGCCGTAGTCTTTCACATGTCTCTGCTGTGTCTCCTCTGTGACCTACCTAAACCTCCATTGAATCTTGGCCACGGCTCAAATTACACAAATTACACAAACCAGCTCTAAAAGTATAAATAATAATAAAAATCTTATTAAAATAAACACAATTACTTTACCAGAACAAAAGAATAAAATCATTAAATGTGGATTATTCAACATCCCATCTCATTTCTCTGTCTCTGTTAGTTGAACTGAAAACTGATCATCAAATTTATTCTGTCTGACAGAAATCTGGCTACAACAGGAGGATTTTGTTAATTTGAAAGAACCCACTCCTGCTAATTATTAAAATTTTCATGTTCCTAGAACAAAATGTAAAAGTACAGGAGTGGCTTCTATTTTTCAGTCAGGATTATTAATTAATGCTAAAACAAATATTAGTTATGATTTCCTGATGCATGCTCAATAATCCAGGTAGAAAAATCCAAAAAAGTTCAATCTAGTCCTCTGGACATTCAAAAAAACAAAAAACAAAACAAAAAAATATAGAAACGTTTCGTCTCTCATCCGAGAGACTTCCTCAGTCTGAGGTGCTGTATTCAGCTCAGTCTCTTAAATAGCACCTTCTCAGAGTGGATCAACCAGTTTTGCTGCTGACTACCAAAACCAGCTGATCACATGATCAAGAAGGACCATCAGCCTAACGATGGATCATTAGCACACTGATGGCTGTTTACTATTCACAGAGGGCTGAGTGATACTAGCAATAACAGGTTTACCTAAAATCCACAAACAAGGTGTACCTTTAAGACCAATTGTTAGCATGATTAACTCTGTCACTTACGTTTCCAAATATCTGGCGTCTGTACTCATCCCTTTAGTTGGCAGCTCAGAACACCACATACAGAACACCATGGACTTTGTAGATAAGGTGAGGGATGTCATCATGGAGACTGATGAAACAATGGTCTC